GATTAAGGAAAATGGAAACCCACAATAACCAAATTCAGACAGCCCTACTGATAGCGATGGTCACATCCTTTTAGAAAGGAATGTTTTCAATACTCAGTGGGTCAGAAAAAGAACTATAACCAACTGATGTGTTTGCTGAGGTCAAGAGAATAAAGACTGGGTAGTGGATCAAGGTTGTTATTAATTCTAGCTATGATCATATGACCACTCACAAAAATGAGAAATGAAGTTAGCATGGGCATTTTCACCTTAGTTTATACCAATATATTTTGTTTTCTTTCTTCCTATTACTACTTATGATGTAACAAGATGCATTGACTTTAGTTCATAGTATTTAGATATTTCCTTTTCAAGGAAAATAATGAATGTCACTAAAAGACTATATCATCTTCTGGGATAATTGTGTGTTTCAGTGTTTCAGTTATATGCATGATAATTATATAATGCTAGGCAGAAGTTTAACATTGTTGTCTCTTTTTTTTTTTTTTTGGTTTTTTTGAGACAAGGTCTCTCTGTAGCCCCAGCTGGCCTGGACCTGTCTATGTAGACCAGACTGGCCTCAAACTCACAGAGATCCACCTGCCCCTGCCTCCCAAGTGCTGAGATTAAAGGCATGTGCCACCACACCCAGCTAACCTTGTTGTCTTTATTTTAGGATGAAGTGTGTTTTTCAAAGATGTGAATGCAAGAGGCAGTGTGTTGCTCAGGCAGTAGAAACACATGGTTTACAAGCACAAGGACATGAGTTCTATCCTCAAAATGCACATAAATAAGCTTGCTGGCCAGATAGCCTAATCAGGAAATAACAGGTCACAGTGAGAGACATTACATAAAAACGTAAAAGTAGACAGTGCCTGAGGAATGGCACCCAAGTCTGTCCTCTGTCTTCCACAGGCATGATCACACATATGTACATATGTACACATATGCATGTGCATACACATGTACAACCCCCATTCACATACTTATATGTTTTAAATATTGTATTAGGGTGGTTAATTTTGATTGTCACCTTGACAAGATTCAGAATCTATGGAAACAATCTCTGGGCATGTTTATGAGGGATTTTCTAAATTCAGCTAACTCTATTGGGAAAACCCCCTCTAAATGTGGGCAGCACTCTTCCAAGAACTGGGGTGTTGGACTGACTGAACAGAGAAAGAGGCTAAACAGTAGCAATTATTCACTGCTTCCTGACTGCAAAAACAATATAACTAGACATCTCAAGCTTTTTCTGACCCAATGTCCCTGCTATTATGGACTGTCTCCTCAAACTATGAACCAAATAAGCCCTTTCTTTCCTTTTTTCTTTCTTTCTTTCTTTCTTTCTTCCTTCCTTCCTTCCTTCCTTCCTTTCTTCCTTCCTTCTCTTTCATTTTTTCTGTTTTAAAATTTTTATTTATTTACTACTTTTTCTCTTTTTTTATTATTCCAAAGAGAGGCAATTTTTAAGATAAAAAAATCAAAGACAAAAGGATTTGTCAACATGGGGTCAACTTTGGTGGAATAATGAATGTTTCCATTAGCTCTGTTCTTCTTCTTTTTTTTTTTTTTTGAAAATCCTAATGAGTTTGTTGGGTTTGCTAAAAGTCTACACTCAAATATAGAACCTGTGACTTCCTGACAGCTGCACAAAATATCAAAAGTGGTGCCTTGTGGAGTTCTCAGCTTATATACCCTTAGCCCTGCCTCCATATTCAGCTAAGGTCGACTGATTGGGTGGGAGCGGTAGCTGACTCCCCCATCTACTCCTTGAGGAGCATGAGAAGTATGAGTATAGCGTGCCAACATGGTGGTTGGAGGACAGGTCCAGTTAACACTCTACCCCTTCCTCCAGCACTTACATTCTTTCTGCCAACCACTTCTACAAAAGTCCCTGAGCCTTGCAGTGGGTGATAGGTATGGAATGATCTTCCTTCCATTGTGGCAAGGCACTGAACTTTCGGGTCTCTGCATCATCTGTTTCCCATCAGCTGTTGGCTCATTTTCGTAGGATTCCATCTACTATAAAAACACAAACAGCAAGAAGCAAGAACATCTAAACAATGGCTGTTATAATAAGTTATGGGTGTAAACACAAATGCTTGGACAGTAGTTTAGCAGGTGTGTCATATCTATCTAATTTCAGTGGCTTCCCACTGGGGCCTATATCCTCACCTGCCACAGGGTGTTGGCCTGGTCTGCAGTACCAGATGTGCGTTCCACCTCTAGGAGCAGGCATTATATTCATTTGAAAATTTGCTGCTTGTACATACATTAGATACACCACTTTTGTACCAGCTGGAATATCTTGTTTGGCATGTTGATAGTGCAGCACAAGGGCACTGTCTTTGAGAAGAATTATACAGGATGGTTCCCACCCAGCTATCTGACTGTTGCCTTCTGGCACTATGGAAGCCACCCATTCAGTGGAAGGGAGTTTCCAACTTAGTCCAAGTTTGATTTCTCCCTCTCCCATGCTCAAATCATGCAGTGTCTTCAGCAATAGGGTATGCATCCACTTCTGATGTAAACCAGCATTATTGGCAAAGGCCTTTATTTTGGTGACTGTGCTGGATAGCTTTAGTGCTAACCTGACACACCTGGGTTGAAGGAGCCTCAATTGGGGAATTGCCTCCACTGGACTGATGTGCCATGTCCGTGGGGCACCTTCTTGATTGTTGAGTGATGTGGGATGGCCCAGCCCACTGTAGGTGTACCACCCCTGGCAGATGGGCCTGTGTTGCATAAGAAAGCAGCCTGATCAGGGGCCAGGGAGCAAGCCAGTAAGCAGTGTTCCACCGTGGCCTGTGCTCCAGCTCCTGCCTCCAGGTTCCTGCCCTGAGTTCCTACCTTGGGCTCCCTGATGAACTGTGACCCAGGAGATGTAAGATAAATAAACCTTACCCTTCCCAAGTTGGCAGTGGTCCAAGTGTTTTGTCACAGCAGTGAATAAACAAACTAGGACAGTGACCTCTAGGCCCTCTCTGGCCAAAAGTTCATGGGGGAGGCAACCCACCTCTAGCACTGGGATTTTCATTTAACAATGATATGGCTTCTGGTAGGGCTTTCTTCCATCCCAGTCAAGTTCCTTCTGTTCTTAAGGCTTTTATTTATTATTGTGTATTGGGAGAATCCCCCCCCATTATTCCCATAGTTTTTTGGATAGCCCTCCTTCCCCCTCCCCCTTTGACTACACCCATTTGAACATTTCTTCCTTAGTAACACCTTTCTCCTACTATTCTCTCTCAGGTTCCTTCTTTCCCTTTATCTCCCTCTTTCCCTTCCATATTCCTGGTCCCTGCAGTTGCATCAGGATATGCACTTACTTATAAGAATTTGGTGCTAGGATTCACAAATGAGGGAGAATATATGTCTTTTTTTTTCTGAGTCTATGTTACTTCACTTAGTATAATGGTTTCTAGATCCATCTATTTACCTGCAAATTTCATTATTTCGTCTTCCTTTACTGCTGGGTAGGACTCCATTGTGTGAATGCATCACATTTTCATTAGCCACTCATAGGTTGAGGGACACTTAGGTTGCTTCCATCTCTTAACTATTGTGAAAAGAGCAGCAGCAAATATGGTTATACAAGTGTCTCTGCAATAGGATGAATCCTTTGTGTATATGCCAAGGAGTGGTATAACCAGGTCATATAGTCAGTTCATTTTTAGTTTTTTAAGAGTCTTCCACACTGCTTTCCATAGGGGTTGCATAATTTTGCAATCTTACCAGCAGAGAATGAGTGTTCCCCTTTCTCCACATCCTCCCGAGCATTTGGTATCATTTGTTCTCTTGATATTAGCCAGTCTGACTGGGGTAAGGTGAAATCTTAAGGTGTTTTAATTTGCCTTTCCCTAATTAGTAACAATGTTAAACACTTTTTAAATTTTATGTTTTATGTTTATTATTTTTATTTTATGTGTATGTGTGTATTGCCTGCATGTAGGTAAGTGCACCCATATCGTGCAATGCCTGCAGAGGACAGAAGAGGGAGTTGGATTCCCTGGAATTGGAGTTACGGACAGTTGTTAGCTGCCATGTAGGTGCTGGGATTTGAACCCCGGTCTTCTGCAAGAATAGTCAGTTTTCTTAATTGCTAGTCATTTCTCCAGCTCCTGTTGAACACTTCCTAAGATATTTCATGGCCATTGGCCATCTTTATTTCTTCCTTTGAGAACTGTTTAGATAATTAGCCCATCTTTTAATTGGGTCATTTGTTTCCTTGCTTCTTTGTTTTGTGAGTTCTTTATATATTCTGGATGTTAAACCAACAGGTGGAGTCTGTATCCTGGCACTCTCAGGCTGTCTGCTGACTTCTCAGCCCCTACACCAGGTAAATGTCAGATAAGACACTCAGGTTCTCTGCTGATTTGTCAGCCCCTACACCAGGCAGAGGCCAGTTTAGTCACTCTAAGGCTCTCTGCTAAGTTCTCAGCCCCTATTCCAGGTAGAGGCCAGATCAGGCACTATCAGGTGGTCTGTTGAGTTCTCAGTTTCTACTCCAGCTAGAGGCTAGGTCAGGCACTCTCAGGCTGTCTGCTAAGGTCTCTGCCCTGTAGTAATATGGGTCTATTCCTGTGGCCACGGGAGGGCCCTCACTTAATCCCAGTTACGGGGTTGGGTATAGCGAGATTTGATTGTTCTTATTACTTGAGGCATATTCAGAGCTATAAGTTTGCAAATGCTTTCTGAGTAGAGATGTAATTGAGCATTATTTGAAATGAATTTAAAATTTTTGATAACATGACAATTTTAATAACAACCTTTAAAATAATTTTGAAAATTGTTATATGGATGATCTAAATACTTAATATTTAGTTATTTTGGCTTATTCCAAGGAAATTATACCCTTTAAGAAATGTCTAGCATGGCATGTATGTGTACTTATAGATTCCTGGGTGGCAGATAAGGTTAATTGGCTAATTCTTGGCAAAAAAGCAGAGCATTATAAACGAGTAAAACATAATGGAACAAGACAATAAATGTTAGTTTTTGCTTTGCATGGGTTTAATTCGTTACTCCATCCACTCTTTCTCACTATCTGATTTTCCTGAATTGTAACCCATAGCGTTTCAGTGGATCTTGATTGTATCTGCAGTTACAACATCCTCAATTTCAAGTGGTGGTACACATTCTCTGGTCTTCTGAAGCTGAATGCCTTTTCTTATTGCTTCCATGAATACTTTCTTTGCTTTAGTCACTATTGGTAGGATTGATGGAGATTGCTTCACACAAGTACATCTTGACACTGTTATATAGTGGCATACTGTTAGAGTCCTAGTGCTTGAAATGGAAGATGGTGATTTCATAGAGTACAAAGATGACTGCAGAGTGGAAATTTTTGTTGTGCTCAAGTTTAATGATGTTAATTGCGATGGATGCAATTGTGTTTTTGCTTTTATAGTTGGTGGTCCTGATGACTGTGCTTCTATAAGTTTTGCCAGCTGACTCACTGAAAGTTTTGTTGATATATTTGAAGGTGTTGTTATTTGTTATTTCGACTGATGATGTCGAAACTGAGCGTTTTGATGCCTTTGGAGATGATGGTAATTGTGAAATCAAACAACTTGGTGTATTTGCAAGTGAATTTTGTGGAAGTGGTTCGTTCGCAGATGATGATTTTGCAATCGAAGATCCAGGTGACTGTGCAAAGAACATCACAGTTTGAAAAACTGAAGATCTTGGAGGTTGTACAACTAAAGCAGGGTCAACAAGCTCCATATCTGAATCACATGACTCATCACTTAGTGAGGATACTGTAGGAGATAAAAATGGAGGGCTGCTCTGATGTACATCCTGTGAACTTAGATCATCTTAATTCAACTGATAGTATTCCCATGGCACAGGATTTAGAGAAGAGGACTCAACACTAGCTGGTATAATTAGATGGTGTGTCTCAGGAATAGTCTGCATGTAAGCAGGAGTTGATGTTGCTGCAGTTTTCAAAACAGGTAATAATGATTCCTCTGGAAACTGTGTGACATTAGTACGTTGTGACTTGTTTGAAGCTCTTAGTTGAACTAACCAATCAGGTGGTAATGGAGGTGGTTCTGGTGCCACGGGATTCACAAATACCTCTATTTTCTGACGAGGCAGAGGTGGAGGTGGAGTTTGCACCACTTCTCCCCTTCCAATTCCACAAATAACTTGAGGACGTGTAGTGCTCATATTTTCAATTGCATAAAATAGTTGGTCTTGACCACTGGGAAAGACATTTACTTCAGATCTTCCTAGAAGCCTACTGGTTTTATTCAGTGGAAAAATATAAAATGAAGAACATTCAGTCAACTCATCTAAATATGAATGAGATACCTTGGTGCTAACAGCTGGGACATCAGACACATCATCTTCCATTAGGTGATACTGTGCCACATTGGTGGTACATTGAGATTGTCTAGGTTCTTGTTTTGTATGAGTTGTTCAAGCTTCTGTTCTTTGCTCACAGATACAGGCTTCTCTTTTACATGTTTGCAGCAATAAGAACATGAATGGAGTGAACCATCAGAAGAGGTTTTTGAATCTTCTTTGTCATTTTGATAATAAGCAGGCAAAGTGACAGATGATAACTGTATATTAGCATTTTTCCTTCCAAAATCTTAACAGGTAATGATACAGGAGTACACTTGATGTACTGGAATAGTCTCACATGGAAATGTTTTTCTTAATTTCCAATCTTGCATTGGTAAGTCTTCATTTGGTATGTTATTGGCAATAATATCAGTTAACTGGATTACATTTTCTTGTAAAGCCTGAAGCTTAGAAGATACTCTATCAACTTCTTTTTCTAGTTTTCTGAATAAGCGTTCCATAAATTTACCTAGATCATTTACTTGTCTGAATACCTTGTTTAAAGTTGTGTGAAATATGTAAGCAAACTCACCATTAAGGACTTTAGTTGTTGCTGGTTGACTTACATACTGTTCATTCTTTTTTTCTTTAAGAGACATGTTAGACTGGTGTTAGTTCAGAATTAATGTGAAGAGAAACACTTCCACACAACCTTCTTTTAAGCATCTACAACTACTTTCAGGTCCATTGCAGGCAACGAGATCCAGTTTTCACATTTGCCAGCAACATCTGGTGGTGGGAGAGGCTGTTGCAGATATGAGGGCAGGAGCTCCTGCCTTCAGAGTTTGAGCAGTTACTGGACAACCAAACAGTTACATCACAATGGTTTGCTTGCACAGGTAGTGGCAGAAAAATGTCTTAGGTTTTGCCAGTCCTTGTTCCCAGTGGAGGTACTCCATCTCTCAGGGACTAGTTTCACAAAGGTGGGGGAGGGCAGTGAGTGAGGAAGTGACAGTGCTACAGTGTACTCCTTTCATTCACTGTTTCTCAATGTCTGGCCTCAGGTTTTAGAGCAAGCAATTCCTTCCAAACACTGACTTAAAGCAGTGATTTGCTCTCTGATTTTAAACCAAATTCCAAGTTGAGAATCTATTTTTGAGTTCCACTTGACTGTAGGACGGGCATTTCAAATTTGTAGAAACTCTCTTACTCATTCAATCTACTTTATTTTCCTGTATCTTTTATCTCATCTATTCGGTTGTTTGTGCCTAAAATTTTGATAAATAGCTTTGTCCTCATGTTTCTAGTTCATTTCCATCTCCAGGCTTAACATATTGTCAGTTTCTTGTATAAAATATATCCTAGAATGCATCTGCTTTTCACCAAAAGTAATGTAAATGTCATCCTTGATGGTCTAGGTCACTGAAACAGCCCCCCATAATTATTTGACCCAATCCTTAACTGTGACATTATAGATTCAGAAGAAATGTTAGTCTCTAAAAATTGAAAATTTGGGGTAGGAGAGATGGCTCAGCAGCTGGGAGCACTGGCTGCTCTTGTAGAGAACCCAGGTTTGATTCCCAGCACCCACATGGTGGCTGACAACCATCCTAACTCAAGTTCCAGGGGCTCTGACACCCTCTTTTTACCTCCACAGGCATTGTGCAACACAGGTGCACTTACACACATGCATGCAATACACTCATACACATAAAATGAAAATAATAAAATATTTTTGAAAACTTGAAAGTTTACATCTTGTAATATAAACTAGAAATTGAAAGACAAGGGACAGAAAAATGAAAGTTATTTTTCAGTTAAAAACAAGTTATTCTATTTCTTTTAAAATATTTTTATTTTTGAAAGTGTCATACATTTAAATCTTTAAAAAGTAACACAGGTGCACTTACACACATGCATGCAATACACTCATACACATAAAATGAAAATAATAAAATATTTTTGAAAACTTGAAAGTTTACATCTTGTAATATAAACTAGAAATTGAAAGACAAGGGACAGAAAAATGAAAGTTATTTTTCAGTTAAAAACAAGTTATTCTATTTCTTTTAAAATATTTTTATTTTTGAAAGTGT